AGCCTTGAAATTCTGATGATAAATCTCGCATGACTGCCTAAGAACTATCATGTTACAGGAGCTGTTCAGGAGACGAGTGGACATTGCCCTGCTGGTTTAATTATTTATTTATTATTTCCAAAGGATTGCATGTGTTTAGACTGGACAAGGAGGGGAAGGAGGAGCCACTTGATTCACAGCCTTCCACAGAGCACTCTTGAGCTTTATCTTGCCTATTCCTGATTATTTTTGACACTGGGTAGCTGGAACATAATCAAGATAGGATCATTGCTAAGTGCAGCAGGAACAGGGAACGTGAGGAATTTTCCCAAGGATGGGAGCACAAATATCTTTAAACACAACAAATAGCTTTGCACATATGACATCTTTTAGCCAAGCTCCTCAAAAGATATCAATTAGATAATCTAAACATTATTAAATTTTTGCATAAGATCATGAGGGGTGGCTTATTCCCATTTTTCATCTGGGCAAAAAGAAGGACAGAGGGCTGGAAAAACTCCCACTAGCCCAAAAGTTTTCTATATAGGCAGGTCTCAAATTTTTAAGTTAATTTCCCTTTTCAGTTATTTGTCCTTTGGTGGGAAGAGAGGTAGCACAAATTTGTGTGTTCACATTTTGCATCTTAGGGGGGAGAAAACCTCTTTATGGAGGCAAAGGTGGTTTAGTGTCAGTCCTTTAATCTCTTTTTTCCAGCCTGTGGTGAATGATGGAGAAATCTGCCTGTTATTTTGGATGGGGAGAAGTAGAAGAAGTTCTATGGATGTGTACATAGAGAGCTGTGTATGTGTAGAAAAAATACAAAATTTATTAAAATCTATAAAAATACAAAATTTATTAAAATCTATAAATATAGAGATGCATAAAAGTCAAAATATAACCTAAAATGACTAAAAAAAAGAAGTGGAAACATGAATACTTGCAAACACTTGCAGAACGTGTTTCCCAAAGGTGAGTAGTGCTGCTGCAAATAAGAAAATCCTTTGCCAAGTAGGAAAAACAGCTCTTACCTGCTGACTGATGGGAAAATACATTGTCCAGGGAACTTTCTGAGCACTCCAGTGCTGGCTTTACTTCGTGTCCAGGGTGTAGAGGGCCAGGACTCTGGGCTGGGATCCAGGAGGGCCAGAGCTCAAGCTCTGTGCTTTGGCTTTATGCAAACTCGAGATCTCTGTGTGTGGATTCAGGCCATCCTGGGACTGTGAGATCGAGCTGAACTAGACATGTGGACACAGCCAAATTCATCCATGTCAAGCCCAGGAAGGGAGCAGAAACAAATATTCCTGCTTGCTTTAATGATTTAAATAATCCCACATATTAGAGATGGGCTGCTTTTGCAGGGTTTAGACTGAAAAAAAGTAATCAGAGGAGCTAAGAAATTTCTGAGCAACTCTTCAGAGTAATAGTTCATGAGATCTTGAAATATTTGCTTCTCAGAATAATACTTATGGAGTTAAAAAAAGCAATTAAACTGGGTATGGTCCTCACAGGAGAGAGTTTCTAATTTTTAAGCATGATCACATTACACGTCTTAAATTTGGGGTTCCTGGGCTTTGAGCATTTGAGTTAGATGCTTGAACTCTTATGTGTTTCATTTAGGATTTCTGGTTTAGCTGCACTTAAATAACCAGAGAGCATTTCATGAATCCACATTTGTCAGCATTTAGGGAAGTTAACTGTGATTATGTGAAAATAACTGTGATTCTATGAAATTCTTGTATTCTACTTTTTTTTTTCCTTTTATAATAATACATGCACAGGCCTAAATCTGCTGTCACTGTTGTTTAGCAAGAATAATGTGAGTAAAAGCTAAAGAACCTTTGCTTTCTCCTCCCTTAAGCAGACGAGTTCCCTGTCATACACTACTAAAATATTATCATAAAACCCCAAATGAAAACAATTTTTGGGTTGTAACCCTCAAGACTTTGAGATTTTTAAATCCTGACACTTCAGGATTAAAAAAACCCACCCACGTATCTATCAGGGAACGGTGAATACATGTTTGTGTAGTTTGCCTTATTTGCATTTGTTGGTAATTAATTAAAAAACATGAGTTTAATTAAACTTGGAGTTAGGGGATTCATTAAAATAAAAACAAAAAGCATTTCAGTTAAAAATGTAAAATAACGTGTTCGGCTGAGTTTGCTGGTGCAGCTTAAGGATTTGCAGGGAAATGCCTGCAGTAGGAAAACTTTGGGGACTATCACACTGCACACAGTTAGAGAAGAGTTCCTGAACAAAGAGTCTTTGTCAGCAGATAAATTTTTTGTAGATACTCAAACTGGAATAGCAGTGTTTGCCCTCAGTTTCATTCTGGGATGAGTGTGTGACTATTTAAAAAATGAAAACCATAGAAGCCCAAAGGAAAGGGTTGCAGCATAACTGGAAGGAAGGTTATTAAAATAAGAGCTAGAGGAAAAATAAATATTAAAAAGCATAAAGGGAAGAGGTACAGCTTATCAAAAACTCAAAACTATATTACATCTACACGTTTATACCTCCATGAAAAGTTATTTCTCTTTTAAGTTTCTTAGTCACAACTCATTGCCTTTAGATTTTTTTCCCCTTTGAGAACCATGGAAGGGGCTTGATTTCTAAGAAAGGACATGTTAGAATGTTGGAAGTAAAACTAGAAAAAAACCCCCACCTCAATTGAGAATTAAATGTTTATTAAGTATTTTTCTCTGCTGTCTTTGATTTTGTCCCTCTCACAAGACCAGGCTCATCCCTCCCGCAGAAAAGTATGAACAGCAGAAATCTTGAAGTTTTTTGTAGTCTGTGTCATGAAAATTGTTACCTAGAACAGAAATGAACACTTTTTACCCTCTCAGACTGAAGGGGTTTAGTGCAGATCTCTCAAAGCTGTCACCCAGGTGGGATTTTTGCCTACAAGGACCCACACAAGCTGCTGGCTCCAGAGGCTTGGGACAGACACAGGTGGCAATATCACTGCTACCTCTGTTCTCCTGGGGTGGGGCAGCTGGTGAAAAATCACTGACTTTCATCAAACTGCCTCAAAAATCAAGAATTTCTACTTTATTCTTCTCCTGAACTATTTGATCTGGGGAGGAAACAATTATAATAACATAATTCTCCCTAAAAAAATTCCAAGTTCTGCTCATTATACTAATTTTCCTATTAAATTAATTTAAAACACCTCAGCAACGAATATGAAACGCATGCAAAAAAAAAAATCTCAATTAATTTGAGAGGAGGTGTGTCAGGATGGTGGCTTGGCACTCCCTTGCAGGATGTTAGAGGACAACTTTGGTGTGCAAGGGAGCAGGTTTAAAAGAAAATAAAACCCACAACAGAGAAATATTTTGCTTCTCTTTGAGATGAGAAACCATCTGTGGGTGCCCATTTCCTGCAGGGCTGGGCAGGAGGATCCCACTTTAGCAAAACACCTGCACCCACTGGGGAAGGTGGCCCTGGCAGGCAGCAGATGCTCCACAGCTGAAGCCTTTCAAAGGAGACACCTTTAGAGCTCCTGCCCTCATGGGGTAACTGAATCATCCATAAATAGTCTTTAAAGGCAGCATTGTCTGCCTAGGGAAACAAAAAAAAAAAAAAAAAAAGAGGAAAGGAAAATGGAGCAGGGGTTTTGTGTGTGGGTAAAGTAAATATGGTTGGAAATACACGACTTGTTAAAAGCTTTTTGAGGACCCCACACTCACGAAATCTTTTAGGTCATGTGTTTGCTTTCTGAAACATTTGGTAAGTAATAAGTGCCAAGGGACTATATGCACTCCATCTGGAATTAGCAGATTCCTCTTTGTTCAATTGTTCCTAAATTTGGAACCAGTCGACTTGGTTAAAAGTATTTTGATTTGCTTTTAAATAAATATGGGAGATAAACATAGCCCAGGACCAGGAAAGGTAGGTTATTAGTCGTCTCCCTCTCTCCACACAACTCTTAAAGGGCCAATTCTGATGTTTGCTGTTGGTTTATGGTAACAATTTTCTTTGGAGTGGTGCATCATTTTTCTTCTCTTTTTATAAATAGTATCAAAGAAATCAGAGATGGAAAAAGAAGTATTAGATCACTGAATCCACTCGGCTGCCAAAGCAGTCTTGTTCATTACAGAGTATTTTTTTCCATTTCTTTCTCCAGGTTAAACCTGGAATTAAGTTTAGAGCCTGTAGGTATAAAGAGAGGTACATGAGTAAGTGGAGACTTCACTCTTTTCTCCTTTCCTAACAAGAAAAATACCTCATTTTCATCTCCATCATCCCTACACAGGGAAATGATCAAAAGATCAAGTCACCTGCTTCCTCCTTGCAGGTGTTGTAGATTACTACCTCATCCCTGTAAAACTTTAATTTTTGCTTGGGGAAAGCAGAAAAGGAAGAGAAAAGCAGCACTTCTCTTATCTTCCCTTATGTCCTATAACATGTAAAGGTCTGAGACCAGAACACCTGCTTGTCCTGTAGGCGTATGCAAAGAAACTGCATTTCCTTTAGGGCCTTTAAAACTTTTTTAGTCATAAGTCTTTACAAACATGTTTGAGAAAACACTTTAAAGAATTGGAAAGGCAAAGTGGAATAACCCAAAACTGCACCGAATCCACAATACAGAATTCAGCTTGAGGAAAAATTTGACCCCAAAAACGTTTTCCATGAAAAGCTTGTAAAGCAGGGCTCAGGAAGGTTGTCCAAGGTTGTTACATTTGGCATGTGAATAATTATTAAGAGGTGCAGATCTGTAGATTTGGGATCCCAGCCTAAGATGTTCAGCCTGTATGTGTTGGTCTGTTTCCATGGACTGGAGTGGAGCAATGCCTCCTCATTCCAGCCGGGGATGGATGATCCCTCTCTCCACCCGCTCTGGAGGGGGCTTAGGGAGACTCTCCTTCCTAAGCCTGAGCTGGCCTTCCTGAGCTGTGTCTTACCAAGCATTACAGAGCAGGATCAAGGTCTTTATCTACTTCACGGCTGCTCAGAATTTCTTTTCATCCAACGTTTATTCAGAATATAAGAAAACATTTTATTTCTGCTTCGAGCTTTCCTAGGACTGCAAGCAGTGCAGCATAAGATACACATTTCCCTGTCTCTACAAGGCCTTTTTATTTGGTCTAGATACACATCTGTAAGTATTTTACCCTCTCATATATTCATATATACTGTAAGTCAAAGGAGATTAAGTTTTCACTTCTTGCATTGCTTTGCAATCACTCTGTTTCATGGGGTGCTTCCGATGTGTTGCATCTCAGCAGCCTCAGGCCTTCTCTAAGTCACTGTTCTGACCTTCCCAGCAAGCAGGAACTGAAACTATAGTGAAAGATTAGTGTGGGATCCTCGAAACATAACCATAATCTCTTCTACCTCTTTTCCTATTCCAGCCAATCCTTGTTTTGAGGATCAAATCTCCATCTCCTGCGTGCTCAAGGAAACCCTGTCAGCGTGATGAAGTATCAGCATCACTCAGCAGCACCTGTTCAGCAGCCAGTGTTTGGGCTTGGCCCATCACAGCACTGGTTTATCCTTTTTTAAATCTAATCCTGTGAGTATGAGCTCAGGAGCTGTGTCAAAACTTTGTGGAGACTCTGTTATGTGCCCACACCTTGGGTTAGGGCACTTCAGCATTGTTAATGTAATGGCTGGACTTGATGAACTCAGATGTTGCTTCTAACCTTAAAGATTTTGTGATTCCAGAACTCTAATTCTTAAAGAGAATGAGCTCACAGCTTTAAAGACTATTGCTGGCTGCAGTTAATGTATTTAATTATATATATATATATAATATATATATATGTGTTTATGTTATTTAGTAGAATCTGGTGATTTGAAAAGGGAAAGATTTAAAGACAGTGCCTGAAGGGGCTCCAGAAGAGCTGGAGAGGGACTTGGGACAAGGGGTAGAGGGACAGGACACAGGGAATGGCATCACACTGCCAGAGGACAGGGATGGATGGGATATTGGGGAAAAATCCCCCTCTATGAGCTGTGGCTGCCCCTGGATCCCTGGCAGTGTCCAAGGCCAGGTTGGATGGGGCTTGGAGAAACCTGGGACAGTGGAAGGTGTCTCTGCCCATGGCAGGGGGTGGAACTGGATGATTTTTAAGGTCCATTCCAACCCAAGTCATCCTATGATTCCATGAAAATACAGCAACTTGTTTCCTTCAGTACCTGCAATGTGTGTAAATACACCTGCTAAGAAAAATGCTGGTAATTGTAATAATTTTCTGATAATGTGTACTCTTAAAGGTTTTTTTGTAGGGCAAGAAAAGAAGAAATATTCATTCTTTCTCCACAGAACTGAATTAAAACCTCGTCATTATCACCTATGAGAGGACAGAACCCTGGTTGCTCTATAAGTGAGAGACCAGAGGTTTCTTTTTGCTCCTGGTTATTATTTATAAATTCTGAGCAAGCAACTTTGTTATGAGACTAAACCCATTTGCAACTTGTGAATTTTTTTGACAATGCATATGTTCATGCTTCACATTTTGTCATCTCCTGTTAGGAGACTACACGAATTTCCATCATTTCACTTGGAAAAAATTCTGATAGCTGGGCAAAACTGTCTTAGAAAAAGATGAAGAAACTCAGAGAATAAACAGAAATATTGGATGGTAGATGAGATGAATCTTAATTTTACAACGAAGGAAGAGGTTATCCAAGTTTCACTCTCACAAACTGTGGTTTCTTTAAAGGGGTTGAAGGCAAGTGGTTGTGGCAGGTCAGGTTATCACGTTGTGCTATAGTTAGAACTCTGGACTGGTTCTGTGCTGTTGTTTGTTGAGATGACTAAGTTGTCATTTTTAATTAGCTTTATGCTCTTCTCAAAGGCTAATTACTTTACTTTTTATCAAGAACACTTGATTGATAATGACAAGGGTGCCATGGTTACGTATTTTTAGAGAATTCCCCAACCTGCACCATTATGTGATTTCCTGTTCCCCCTGGATTCTTTGTGCAGTAAAGCCTTCAATAAAAATAATGGTTAAGAAAACTGGAAGTTTACTGAAGATATTGGTGGAAAAAAGTATTTCTTGATTTCCTTTTGGCAGGAAGACCACTGCTAATGTATTTACTCAGTGTAAAAACCATTATGCTTAGTTTACCTCCCTGTCAGTGACACTCATGTTGCTCTATTACCTTCAGTGAAGTTACCTCAGACAAACTGAATTTGAGACCTTCCTTTTTTCCCCCTTCTCATTTGTCTATAGCTGTACATCTCCCCTGGTCGTCATGGAAATCTGGACTGACTGAACTGGATCCTTATTTCCAAATGTGGATATTGCACAACCAGACACTGATTTTCAGAGAGGGTTCACCACCTTTTTTTTATCAATACTGGGTTGGAGAGCCCTTGAGATAAACATGAGAGGTGCAGTCACAGGTGAAATCTCTCTTCATCAACCTGTAGATTGCTGTAATCTGCCCTTGTTTGAAACAGCAGCAGCCCATAAAGTGATGTTTCTGTGAAGGCTCCTTCAATGGGGGGAGACAGTAATGGGAGACATAAATACTCCCCTGACATTTTTTTAAAAATAGTTATACTCAGAGAATGGCTGCTTTTTCCCCTGTTCATAAACACACGTCAGATGTGTGGTAAACCAAATTCTCCCAGGAGCTTGTCCTGAAAGAGGGAAAGACAATGATTTAGAGTCTACATCTGCAGTCTAAGCTGCTTTGGTACCTGCTGCTGGACAGAATTCCCTGCACCAACAGCCTCCCTATGGTGGGCTTGGAGCTCTTCCCAAAGCAAAGCCCAAGGGAATTCTAATGCTGCTCCCAGCCCACTGGAAAGGCAAGAGGGGACAGCCACCACCTTCCCCTGCAGGTGGAAAGGGACTGTCCCTTTCCAGGAACCTGGTGACAGCACCACCCTGGTGACAGCAACTCTTGTCACATTCTCCAAAATGTATTGAGAGCAAGATCAGAGGAGAGATCTTCCTGACCTGAAGGGAAGGTTGGTACGGTGGGATGGAACATGTGTGCACCCAAGCTGCCAGGAGCAGCTCCTGGAAGGTGTTTGGCTGGGGAGACCTGCTGGAATGTCTTCAGAACCATGTGAAGAACATCTCTGTAACCAGGCAGCTGGAGATGTGGAGACGTTCTGGAGCAAATTCTCCTTCTCAGAGCCAGATAGGCACTGTAGCAACTCCAGCCACTGCAGCAGTGCAGTGTGAGTCCTTGCAGTCTACATGCAAAAAACAGCTTCTTCACTGAGCATCTCATCTCCTTAATGAGCCAGTAACACAGCTAGGACTTGAGTAATTCAAGTAAGGTTTCATTCTTACTGATGTCAGCACCAAGGAGGAAGGAGAGAGAGATGGATAAAGTAGGCTGGCAACCTCTCTGGGAAACAGGTATTTATTTGGTTCCCTGCTTCCTCTGCTGCCAGAAAAATAGGCAGGACTGGATCCTAAAGGTATCAAATGCCTAAATCCTATGGAATTCAAAGTGAGTGAGTGGCTAAATGTTGTGGGTATCTGGGTTTAATGTCTCTGTGCCTTCATCTGTCCTATAGATATAGTGATTCTATCCCTGTTCACAGTAAAGAAAAATAATACATATGTTATGGAAAACAAAGTATCTATTGTTATCTTTGAGTATATATATACCTATATATATATATATATATATATATAAATATCTAAGCAAGGCATATTTATTTACTTTTCTTTGAGTGATGATTATGCTATAGTTTTCCTTTTTAGAGAGAAGTGCTTGTTGATGAACACATTGTTGTATTCCCCAGCTGTAATCAGGACACAGTTTCCTCTCCAGAAGTTCACCAACAGCAAGGATCAACAAGAAGGTAAGGTGAATGTTCAACTTTTAGAAGTCAGACTAATAATATTCTTTCCTCAATGCAAAGCTGAGCCTGTTTCACTTTCAGGCTAACTTTCAGCATCTCTGATTTCTATGTGGTGCCTTGCTTCCAGTATAAATAAATGATCCCACATTCCGTCATGATAACATATGCTCATGCAGAGCTCAAAATTAGAAGGAATATGAAGTGTTCTATTAATTGCATGAATGTTGATTGTTAAAATCATGTGCTAATTGGTAATATCTGTGTGCAGTAGGTTCCTGCAATATGTGTTAGATTACATTAACTGTGCTCGTGACTCAGATATCAGCATTATGCCTTTCGTAGAAGGAGCTTTTTTAGACTTTGTGTAATTAGGTTCTATAGATTATCAGTGTAGAAAAATTAGTAGAAGGCTGTGTAAAGGGCATGTGAAGTTAGAGGCAGGAGGAATACTGAGCTCAAAAGATGCATCTGCTCCTCTTTCTCATGGTGTGCTTTTCCTCACATCCTCTCCACAGCAATTCTCACCGTGTTTGTCTCGAGGTAATTCCCAGGGAACCAAGCACCTCACTGCCACGGTGATTACATCTGGAAGTTGCCATCTTTTTTTGAGTGGGCTTTCTCACTTTTCAGTCTTTTCCCTTGCCTTCCCCAGGCTTTGATCCAAGAAGCATTCAGGTACATTGCAGATAAATGAGATTATCACTGGACTCACCTTTCAGTGAGCACAGTTAGCAACACGACTCTCCTGTACCAGATGTGCTTCCTCTCCATTCCTCATCCCTGGGGCAAAATTCATATGGATCTGTTTTGTTCACTGGTGTTTTAATTTTATTGAGTGCCATGAGTATTTATTAAAATAGGCAAGGTAGAAGGAACTGGGGCTGGGAGCTAAATGTGGTGAAATGTGTGTGTTTTTAAGAAATGTGGTGGTTATTTCCACTCTGTGTGTGACTATCAGGAGGGCTGGGCTCCAAACTCACCCAGATCTGGGACTTTTCATCAGGAACATAGGTGGCAGGACAAGGAGTGCTAGGTTCAAACTGAAAGAAGAGAAATTTAGGTTGGATATATGGAAAAAATCCTTCCCTGTGAGGGTGGGCAGGCCCTGGCACAGGGTGCCCAGAGAAGCTGTGGCTGCCCCTGGATCCCTGGAAGTGTCCAAGGCCAGGCTGGATGGAGCTTGGAGCAACCTGGGACAGTGGAAGGTGTCCCTGCCCATGGCAGGGATGATATTTAAGGTCCATTCCAACCCAGACTGTGCAAGTTTTCATATTTTCAGAAAGGAAGAAAAATTAAAATTAAACTGAAAACTAAAAAAAAAAAACAATATTTAAAAAAAAGTATTATTAGAGAAACACCAGGCAGGTTTTTCTTTTGTTAAGGAAAAAAAAATTAAACATTTTAAATGTTTCATGGGTTGCATTGAGAAAAATAGTCAGAATTGAATTCCTAACTAGCGTAATTTTAATTCATTTTACAGTGGACCAGCTTGGTAATGATGCAATGAATTAAAACAGGTTGTCTGAGAGGAAAAATGGATGCAGTTTTGGTAAAGAGAGCATTTACAGAAGTGTTAGAAGTCTTGAGTCTTATCAAGGCTGTTGCTCTAATATCTCTTGATTTACTGATCTTGAAGCAGGCAAAACCTCATGGGTTCATGAGCTTAATGTTAAGGCACACTTCATCAGTTGTCCTGAGAAATGCAAAGATTTAAGAGGAAATCAGTTTTAGCCCCCATCCAAAATGTTGACACTGAATCAAACAGAGCATGAACTATATACACAGTTTTAATTAAAAGAAAAACTGACAAATTACCAACATTCTAGTGTTCAGAAGATGGTTATCTGTTACAGAAATATGTTTTCTAATGCACATGCTCTCATACATGAAATAGTTTCTAGATTTATTTTATTATAATTGTAAACTATGGCACGAACACTTAATCTTACCTACTTTAAAAATGTGAAATGTTTTCCAATTTCTCAGCAAGTCTCCCTCCTCCCCCCACCTTGGATCCCTAAAGTGACACATTGAAAAGGATGAACAAATTTAGTGGACAAGATGACCACTGGAAATATGTGGAAAAACTAAAAAATGAAAAGAAAAAATAACCAGAAGAAAGTTGCTTACTGATTTTTAAGTTAAAAAAGTTAATCTAAAATGACTACCAGCCTTCCAAAGATTAATTGTCAAATTAAGTAGATGGACGTACAGTGGTCACTGGTTACCTGGGGGAATGAACTGTTAAATTGTTTAGTTCAGGGCACATAATTTATGAAGAGATCAGCTCCTCTGCCTCTGTGGAAACTCTGCTTATTCCAGGGAAGGTGAAGGAGGTCCCATGAGGACCCAGCCACTGGTGGGAGCATCTGGAGTAAATAGTGTGTGTTTCCAAGGAGGTAAAAGTAAACTGGGGAGCAGAGCAAGTTGTTACTCCATGGGGAATAATAAAAATCAGTTTTCTCTCATTTCCTTTGGACTGCTAAAAAATTAGCTAAATATTTGGAGAACGACTTTTCACACGGGCATGGAGTGATAGGACAAATGGGAATGGTTTTAAACTGACAGAGGGCAGGGCTAGATTAGATGTTAGAAAGGAATTGTTGGCTGTGAGGGTGGGCAGGCCCTGGCACAGGGTGCCCAGAGAAGCTGAGGCTGCCCCTGGATCCCTGGAATGTCCAAGGCCAGGTTGGATTGAGCTTGGAGCAACCTGGGACAGTGGAAGGTGTTCCTGCACATGGAAAGGAGTGGGATGAGATGGACTTTAAGGTCCCTTCCATGCCAAACCTTTCTGGGGTTCTGTGAACTGGCAAACCCTCCCTTGTGGGGTCAGGGGCAGAGGAGAAGTGCTGAGAGCCCTCTGCCAGGCAGGGTCCTGCCACTCTGAGCTCTGCTTTGTGCACAGCCAGGACAGCTCTGGAGCACCCAGAACTGAAGGACATCACTAATTTTAATGAAGCCAAAGGGAATCCAGCCCAATGCTGTTCTTTCCCCATTATTCTCTGTTCCATTGTTCGAGCTAGCAGGGCTGGCAGCCTGGAAGGGGATGTCACCACATAGCTCGCTGTCCTCGAGAGCCACTCTGGAGCCACTCTGAGGTCCATGAGGGGCTGTGGTGGCCCAGACAGGCTGATATCTGGGCTGTGCTGAGGAGGACAGGCTGACTCCGACAGCAGGGACCAGGGGATGCTGCCAGTGGGCTCATGGATGCTCCAAGAGTGCTGGTGCTGGGAGAGGGGGGATGTCTCACAGCAGGAATCCCATTCCAGGGCTGCTCTCACCAGTTTGCAGGGCTGCATCTTCCACTGGTGTGCCAGCAGCACCCTTGGAAACCAGTGCAGCCTCCCCAGAGCCTGCAGGGCCAGAACTGATGCCAGGGTCACTCCTGGCTTCTGCTGTTCATGGGCTCTGTGTGCAGCCCACGACATGAGCATCAGGGTGGGATGGAGGCTGTTCCTGCTTGACCATGCAGTGCGTTTTCCTGGCCATTTTAGAAAGATTTTTTGTGACCTCTCAGGCCACTAGAGTGGCAGAAATTATTTCTGCCCTCCCTTTAAGAGCTATGTTTCTCTGCTGTTAATCTACCCCATAAAAAAAAAAAAAAAAAAACTTAAATATATACTGTGAGAAATGTTATGCCTACTTAAGCAAGATAGTTGCCTGTAATAGTGCACCATAAAGCAATCTGAAATGTTTATTGTCTGTTCCTCAACTGCAGGGCTTTTTTTTTAGCGGTTTTTTTATCTACACGATTTTCTTCACTATGAAAAGTTCAAAATAAATTTTTCCTTTTCCCTGCAAACGGAGTCATTATTTGTCCAGTAGATCCTCCTGTCAGTGCAGATACAGAATATTTTACAAAACTTCCAGTTTCCTAAACTTTTTTTCAGTAAAAAAACATTGTTTAAATAAATAACAAGCCTTGATATGATAGGCTTTAGAGGGCAGACTGACTTCCAAAGGAGCAGATAATGTTAAACAAGATGTCTTTTGTAAAGGCTTAAATAGGAAATCAGGAAAAGAAAAGAAAAAAAAAATAAAAAGGAAGAGAAAAAAAACCACCCCAAGGTTAGGGGGTGGTAAAGATGTTGCTGCTAGATCTAACTCCAGAGACACAATGTGTATTTCATTGCCACGAATAAACTGTATCCAGGGAACGAGCAAATGAAAGAGTGAGGACAGGAGATATCTTATTTTTGTTGTTTGTTTCCAAAGAGTCCACCCCCACATAGGTCACTTGGAATTCATTTGTCTACATCCTGGACTGCACGTAGGGGAAAAAGAAAAAATGCCTGGGATCTGAGAAAGAGGAATGCGATAGGGCATGGGAATCACAGCGTCACGGTGGCCACCAGAGCATAGTTTGGCTCGTCTTAAAACAAGCAAGCACCGTTGGACCTCTGTAATTCCAGCAAAGCAGCCGTGCTATCAGGCTACCTATCAGAGCCCGAATGCTTGAGAAAAAGTGTGTGGGATTTCACCCGGAGCCTGGGGCGTTGCAGGGATCTTGGAGCTGCTGCTTTCCTCTTGACATCCAGTACTACTCGGTGACCTCGGCAACAATCCAGTGTACTGTTACAGTTCATTTCAATAATTAAACAGTTCAGGGATGGCAGAGCTTTCTTGTTGTCAATAGAAAATCAGGGCTGCAGTTTGCTTGCTTTTTTTTTCCCCCTCCCTCTTTCTCCCTTCCCCTTTCCCTCTGCTGAAATCCGAAGTGTTTGTTTTTAATTATATTAGCTAGAGACAATTAATTTCACAATCCGAATAGAAAAAAAAAAAAAAAATACCCCCACGTTTTGCGAGAACGACTGGCAACTGGTAAATGCAATTATTATTGTAGCACATTTTCAAAGGAAGAGATCCCAGCTCCAACAAAGTCATATGTATAAAATTTCAGTCATAGAATATAGTCTCAAACAGCAGATTTACTCTGCAAGAGATGGGAGCTGCTCTCCCATCTGGAGCTATGTTCTGTTCATGCCACGTGGACCC